GCCTTGACCCACTTACTTCCCAGCTCCACCCTCCACCAGGATAACCCTTCACATCTGCCAAGTCCCTTCAGAAAATATCTTCCATTGTCCAACCCATGATCTGACAGCTTGTATGTGAAGCTTTCTTGGCTTCTGTGATTCCAAAGAGGTAGAGTTAGAAAAAAACATTGGGCATTTCTCAAACTGGATGACGTTTTTAATTCAAAAGTCAAGATGCAATAGTGAAGGACTGACCATCTGGGCAAAATATCAATGTTGCAGGAAGCATTGAAGATGATGAAAGGAATATTCACTGTACCAAAAAAAAACTGTCGACACTCAACCATGTCCAAAAATAATGCATGATCAAGAACCAATAGTACTGAAGAAAGAAGTCCAAACTAAACTAAAGGCATTGATAAAAACAAGACCACAGAAACTGATGGAATACCAATTATAGTATTTCAGGAAACAAATGCAGCCCAGGATGTGCTCACCAGTCAACAAATGTGGAAGACAGCCACCTAACTGGAAAAGATTGATTATTTGTTCCCATTCCAAAAAAAGCTGATCCAACAGAGTGTGGAAATTTATCAATCAGCATCATTAATATTATGCCCAAGTAAAATCCTGAATTTAAAAAATAAAACCCAAAACCCAAAAAAAAACCAACACAATGCTCGATCAGTATACTGACATGGAACATCACATATTAGGCAACATCTGACAAATGGAGAAAAGATCAAAGTTCTTAAGGATTTCATTTTACTGAGATACATAATCAACAAACATGGTAGCAGCAGTTAAGAAAAAAAAATGTTGCACTAAAAAAATGTGTTCTAAAGGACCTCTTCAAAGTGTTAAAGAGCAATGACATCAGTTTAAAGACTAAGGAATGCCTGACCCAACCCACAGTATTTTTCAATTGCTTCCTATGCATTTGAAAGTTGGACAATGAGTAAACATAGAAGACACTGCTCAGTGAAAGGGAAGTGCTGCCCAAACTTCCATCTGAGAGTTCTTTCTGAATGATTTAGATTCCAGAAGGCATTCCAGAACATTCAGTAATAAATAACCTGAAATAACCCACTGTTTGACAGTAGGGCCTACGCAAATCCTCTGCATCTTCCTCGCATTTAAAGACTATAAATTTCTGATAATATGTAGTAATTTTTAAAAAAAGGCACAAAAATGAGTTCAACTGCAATAAATCTATAGTTATTTACTATCAAATAACTGAAATACAGATGAGCTAGCTAGTTTAGAAATTTCAGATAGAGACTGGAACTGTGTTCAGTACTAAACCTGAAGAGAATCTTTCTAATTGTAAACCAAAGCTAAAATATTTACCCCATTCATATGGCTAACTACTTGCAGAACTGAGCAATCAAAAAAAAACTTTATAGAAAGTATTTTTCATTTTATAATAAAAGGAAGAAACTCACCGTTATATTTTCTAGATCAAGATGCTTGTTGTGTACAGTTTCACAGAGTCTTCGGATTTTTTCTTTAATTTTGTTCATGTCTTTCTCATTCAGTAGCTTAGCTGAAGAAGCATCTTGTTCCAGTTCCAAAAGTCGAATCATAAGATCTAGGCTAGCTCTATCAAGGTCCATGTTCAACCGATCTCTACTCAATATATACATAAGGGCAGCTGTACAAAGGGACAGATTCTTAAATGGATAAAAGAAAAAAAGAGTTCATAAATGCAATCAGGGTCAATTTCCAGTCATATTATTTTGACATTTTTCATTGTCAATATTGTAATAAATGTAAAAAACTTAATATTGCTGATTGTGCTGAAAATACTCAAAAACAGTATATGCAACCCCCAGTAAATACTGTTAATTTCTCTCATTATTCTCTTCATGAATGACTGGAAGAACAAAAGCTAGATTATATTTTTTCTTCAGCCATTTTACACCAAATGAACAGTTTAGCCTACAATGCTTCTTGCTGCTGTAGTGTGCTGTTGAGCTCAAACCAACCAATGGCTGACCCTCTTCCAGTGGGTTTTCAGATACAGAAAACTGCATGGGAGGAAACTATCTACCCTTCTCCTGTGGAACCACTTGTGAATTCAAACTGTGCGCCTTTGAGATTGCAGTGCAGCTTCTTAACACTAGGCCACCAGAGCTCCCTCCACACTAATTAGCTATGAATACATAAAAATTTACTACATTACAGCTCATACCTGATTCTTAATGATACAGTGAATACAGTCAAATTTCAGATCAGATGATGATTCAGTGCTTACATAGCAAGCTGTTTTATGCAACCAGGATACCACAGTGGAGGCCATAGGAGATTCACATTCCCAAGATCACAAAGTAAATTACTTGTTTTTCTCTTTCCCAGCACTGATCATTCTGTATTGGTTACGACTTGGTTATGAAACTGTATTCACTCTGAGTTAAACATAATGTAGACCTGGTGATTACTAATTAATTCTAATAATTCTGTCACCTAATCTCCATATGGACATAATTTCCATAAATAATAATATAACAAAACCATCTTTTTAATTTGACATTAAAAATGTAATTTCCTGGATTTTAATCTTAATTTTAATCCATCCATTTTATTTTTAAACAGTATCACAATATATAAAAATAAGGAATTTTTTTTACTCTTTTTTTATTAATTTTAATAGACATTTACAGAGGTTTTGGATTTCCATTCATTCATTGCCACACTTTTCTCCCTGCCCACCCCTCCCCACCAGTTAACTCCCCTCTCCAAAAAGAAAAAGAAAACAGTATGGCTATGTCCCAGATTGACTACATACAATGCTGCTGTTAGTATGTGTCATTGCGTCAGAACCAACTCAAAGCTGACCCTACAGCCGATTTTCAGTGAAAATCACAAGAGAGGTAACTGGCCATTTTTCTCCCATGGAGCAGCTGGTAGATTAGAACCACTTGTACTTTTGGTACTTGTACTTGGGTTAAGTACAACTACTTTACCTACTAGGTCATAAAGCTTCCTCTTACTACATACAGTACACAGACTATATACAATATACTACATGTATACAAATGCCAACCTAAAGGCATGTGGTCTGAACCCACCATAGGAAAAAGATGGGCAAACTTCGCCCATGTAATCTACTGCCTCTGAAAGCTCACTGGAGGAGGGTCAGCTTTAAGTTGGTTCCGACTCAACAGTACATTACTATCTCTATATACACACACTCAACAGACTGCATCTTCCATATTCTCATCCAACCATAAAGTACACTGTACACTATAAACTGCTGGAGAAAAAAAGAATCTGTAGGTAATGACAATTCTAGAACGGAAAGCAGCTTTAACTATTCAGGATTTCTAAAACTAGAAGGTAAAAAAAGGCAAGTAGAATAGAAAACTGATTAATTATTGAAAATATATTACCCACATATGTTTAACTAGGGGAATACACACTATTTCCGAAAAGCCAGCAGCAAGTGTTACTGAAGATCTATTTCTAATCCTCATTAGCATTCTTATGTAATATTGTTTCCCACAAAGCTATAGACAGACAAAATGTTTTTGGTTTTAATTAGGACTATATTTTAAAAGTACTTCTTTTCCATGCTATTAATAATTATTCCCAGTATCTTCTGATTTCGAGAAAAACCAATGCTTAAAGAAATGTCAAATATAGGATGGTAATGAAATAGTTTGGACAGTATAAATTACAAGTTAAGAAGGGTGGGGAATACTGTAAAGAAATTAACTTCAAGTGACTTACTAAATAAAAAAATCTAGCATATTAAGCACCATATAGTCAAGAAATAAAACTAATTTGTAATTAGAAAATATCTATACATGCAATCACATGACTAAAACATGATTTTGACAACCAAATAGTGTAGAATTTATAAATAATGTTTCTAAAGCTCAGAAACTTAAAAATACCTGATGGTGCTGGGAATCATCCAGAGTTTTAAAGACCATTGCTACCATTCCATGTGCTCTCAGGTGCATTCTAAAACTGGGCATGGCACATTTAGTAGCCAAACTAATAACACTAGAAGAAAACAAACTAGATTAAGATGGCAAAAAATAGTTAGTGCATTAGTTTTTAACTCTGTGAGATACCAAAACAAACACACTGGGGTTTGTCAAAACTCTGGCTATACAGATCACTACACAATAAACATGTACTTGCTGTGTGGCCTAGAAGCTGCTAGGACTCACAGTGACCAATCCTCACCATCTCAGGCACACTGGAGCCTAGTGTCAATCCACCTTGTTGTTCTCTATTACGCAGATCCTCGACCAAATACATGGAAAAGTTACTGAGGCCTAGTACAAGATTGTTGTTTTGCTGTGTGTGTCGTCGTGTCAGAAGTGACCCATAGGTGACCCTCCGATAAGGTGCATATATATTAACACAATTTGTCTTTCGTGTATTTCTAAGCACAAAATCGTAGCTACGTTCATTCATACTGCTTCCAATATACAAAAATTATCAAATTTACATGTGAAATAGTACTGGAAACAGACATCTGTCATACTAAAAACGTACTGTGAACAATTTTATTCAATAATTCTTAAGTTATCACCATTAATTTTCACTGGATAATTGACAATAAGGAATACAGAAGAACTAATGCTTTCAAATTGTGTTGGCAAAGAATATTGTGAAAAGAACAAACAAATCTTTACTGGATGAAATACAACCAAGTTGCTTCTTAAGAGATAAGGTTGGTGAGGTTTCATTGCACATACTCTGGACATGTTATCAGAAGGGACAGTTTTTGGAAAAGGACATTATTCACGGAAAAGGAGAAAGTCAGTGAAGGGGAGGAATATCAGCAACGTGATGGAGTAATCTAAAGATAGTAACAGTATATTGTGAGGACAATGCAGGATGGGGCAGTTTCGATCTACTGCACATAGGGTCATTCTAAGTCAGAAATGACTTAATAGCAGTGGATTTGGCATTTACATTATATACATAGAGGGCTAAAAAGTCACAGTGTGATGATAAATATGTGAAAACTGAAGCCAAAAGTATGCTGTGTGGCTGTGCTCCCAATCCAAAGGCACACCGTTTCAATCTGCCAGCTGCTCTGCAGGAGAAAAATAGGCAGTCTCCTCCTGTGTAATTAAATGGCTCTGAAAACCTGCTGGAAGATGTCAGCTATGAGTCAGTTTCAACTCAACATTAAATAACAACATACTATACATACAGGAGTCCTAGCACTGGTGCCACTTTGCTAACCAAGAAGTGAGTGGTTGAAACCCGCCCATGGGTTCTGGAAGTGACATTAAAGGTGACAGCACAGGAAACCCTGTGGGCCAGTTTTACTGTCACATGAGATCACTGGGCATCAAATATTCTCAGTAGCACCTAACAACTCCAAGTAGAATACAATCCTTTTTTAAGGCAATTTATAAAGTTTTAATTTATTATCAGACACTGAAAGTTACATCTAAAGTAATAAATTCACAAGGTTTGACTTCTTTGACAATATACCGTACAGTCAGAAAAATTTCATGAATTATAGCATGCATATCCTTATCAAATACAAAAAGAAGAACCTTACCTAAGGCAACGTGTGTTTAGAGGCTGAGTGCTCTTTAAGCCACTTAATAAGTACTCAATGTCATCAGTGAATTCTTGATTTTCACCAAATTCCACAACATCATTGAAGTGTTTCACATGCTGAACAACAGTATATAACTGCCGAGGGGGGAAAAAAATTCACTTCTTTTGTAACAATGAATTTGCATGGGCTCAGTGTACTTTAAAAGTATACTAGATAATGCAATAGACAAAACAATAAGTATCCTAATATACTGGTGTGTAGGACAAGGTAATTCTTAGTTCATGTTTCAACATTGTTAGTACTGATTAGTTCAAAATTGTAAAGTCACATGTTAAACATCAAAAATCTATCCTTGTGCAGAAAAAATAGTACAGAGCTGCTTACTTCTTTATCTTCTTTTCTGCATTTCAGTGCAGTAACTATTTCCTGGTAGGGCTGAGTAGGTATGGTCACAGTTTTTATCACTTTGGGTGGTGGTGCAGGAGCCTTAAAAACACCATCATCTTTTTGAATTGGTTCCTTTGGAGAGAGCCTCACCTATTAATAAAGGTATTAAATTAGTTGTTCTAAATAAATATACTAAAAATATAACTTAAAAAAAAGTGTAAATAACATTACTGTGGGGGGGAAAAAGAGGCTTCTCAAAGGTCACAAGGCATATTAAAAATTCCATGCATAATTAAGTTAGACTGTCACGTCTGTTCAATGAAGAATTACTCAGGAATTCATTGTGGTCTCTTTTAATCTTTCATTTCACACAATTTTTATCTACTGTCTCCAGAACCATTAGGGGGGAAAAATATATCCAAATGCTCTAAAACTTCTGTTAAAATGTCAAAATATTAAAAAAAAAAAAATCACAAAAATTTGTATTACTAACATTGAGAGCAGCCACGGATGAAACAGAAAAATAATGGAAAGAAAAGAGAATTGGAAAACTACAATATTTTTAAGTAATGAAGGGCAGAATAAAAGCTGGTAACCAGTATACATATGGTACTAATGTACACAATGATGAGTTTATTCCATCCAGAGGTATTTAAAATATGTTTAATATGTTTAAGAATAAAAAGAGAAAAACACTCTGGAGTGAGAGTGGTGATGACTGAATAATGAATGATGGCAATCATTAAGGTCAATGATGTGTATATTTAGAAAATAAAATGGCAATTAAAAAACATATATTTTATCATAAAACAAAGTCAAGGAACATTTTATATACATATAAATACAGAGTATATTATATTTTTCAAAAATGCATATATTTTTAATTTCTATTTTTGATAAAAAATATAGACACACAATCTCATTCCTCTGATAATCAGTCCAAATGACTGATCTGTTATTTTGACTGTTGCTGTGAAGCTCCATGGGAGGAAAGTGGGCAGTCTCCTTCCATTATAATTTATGGCCTTAAAACCAGGTAGAGGGCTGCCCTGAGTCAGAGCCAACTGCTGGAGAGGAGCCTACAGTCTCAGTTTTAATCAGTCATTCTCAAGAAAATAATCTGGTAGAAAATTTTTTAAATGTTTTGAACTGAATCTGCTCTGAAAAACAAAAGTTGTTTTTTTGTTTGTTTTTTTTTTAATCTACAAAGGACACAATTTATAATAAAGTTCTTAATGGCTAACAAACTTTAAATGAACTGTCTGCTATTACACAGTAAATAAAATAGATCCATAAAACGTGGATCAGGAATGAAAAAGGGCCAATATCATTTCTAGGCTTTCATTTCTAGCCTAGTACCACTAAAATAAAACTGCTATTCTTCCTACAGTTCTTAATATTCCAGTCACTTAAATTAGGTTTAGATGAAGAAGGCTAAAATAATTATCAACTGTAAACACAGTGACTTAACTAATTTACAACTTACCAAAAAAAAAAAAAAAACAAAAAAACAAAAAAATCAAGACCTAGTTCACTTACTGTGACATTCTGAGGTTTTACTACTGGTGGCCCAGGGAGTTCTTCTGACTCTGGATGGTTCCAATGTCTGGCATTATATACAGCTTTTGTAGGGGACTAGAAGGAAAGGAAAACACCAACTGTTGTCATCTTTCTTCGCATCCTTATAAAAGTGTTCCCGTTAATAAATAAGAGTCATAAAGAATAACATATACTGTAAGCACATCCTAAACACATCAGGGCAGTCTCTGGCATATGCTCCCACCACCCTTCCGAGGTCATTTCAGACATGGAGCCACTACACTGCTCAGCCCCAAAGTTGCTCAGTGCTCTGGGCAACTCTTACCAAACAAGAGAAGAAGGCAGTTCAAAGTACACCTAACTTGCTAGGCTTGTTGTTGTTGTTATGTGCCATCGAGTCACTTGAGACTCATAGTGACGCTATGTACAACAGGCCTAAATCCTGCTCTATCCTGTGCCAATCAATCTCAACTGCCTCTGACACACCCATTCCAATTACCATCGTCACTGAATCAATCCACCTCATAGAGGGTCTCCCCCTCTTGCGCCATCGCTCTATCCTCCCAAGCATGATGTCCCTCTCCAAGGACCTGTCCCTCCTTACAACATGGCCAAAGTATGTCAGATGAAGCCCCAGAATCCTTGCCTCCAAGGAGCAGCCTGGTTAAACCCTCTCCAGGATGAATCTGTTTGTTTTCTTGGC